ATCTCTCTAATTCAATAAAATAATATTTTAAAAAATTCTCTTGTTCACAAGTTTTGACATGAGAACAAAAAATTTTGGTCTTATATTTCCATGACTTTTGCAATGCTTTATAAGTTATACTACACTAGAACTTTACAAGTTTTATTAGTCATATTCGAACTAGTTTTCTTGAAAAATAAATGTCAGGAAAAAGTAGATTTATAAAAGTGTTGATAAATAGAAATTTATATTAAAAATTTAAGCCAGTGAAAAAAATATGGATTAATAAAGCACAGTAAATCCAGATATTTTTTGTGTCAGAGCTCTTTATCTTAGAAGGTATGGAGGTTAGTGGAAAAGGAAAGAACAGCAAAAAATGTGTTGGTAAATCCATGGGCTTTGGCTCCCATGTCAGTGCCTCAGGAATTCTGATCCAGGCTCTATTAAGAAAAAAAAGATACAAATAATTTACATCCTTTGCTTATTGATCCTGATAACAGTTTCATTTTCCATTTGCTTTTAATTTTAGACTTGGTGGTAAAAGAAGAGTTTATTTGGATTTGGTCTTGGTAATTCTGTCCTGTGGAGTTGGCACAGTGTTCTTGAACTAAAAGGCTTGGTTAAAATGAAATAGGAGACACTGGAAAATCAGATTCTAGGGATTACTCTTCAGGTTTTGTGCATAAAACCTAAAGAGTCATAAGATGTATTTAAATATTTCCCAGTGACAATCTTTTTTAAAATGAGCAGATAGCATCAGTACAACATGTTGGGCTGGATTTAGTATTTGTGCCTCTGGAAACTTAGTGAAGTCTAATTAGTAATAGATACGGTGTAGTGTAGTAATGGTTGACCTCAGTCAGAATTGGTCATCAATCAATCTGTTCAAAAAAGTCTTGGTCATATAGAAACAATAATTATTTGGGGTTGTTCTTAAGTTTTGGACATCAATGTAGAGGTCAACACTTCAACAGAAATGAGAAATTTAAAATCACCTGTAATTTATTGCCACTGACTTCCTTTAGGCACAGTTGGTACAAATGGTTTAAGGGACCCTGGATTTCTGACCCTCAGATCTGCTGCCATTAGCTCAGGCATACACATTTAGGTTTTGTTCCTGAGACATGTACTGAGAAGTAATTGCCTCCTATCTTTCTTTTGTGGAGTAATTGCTAATTTGAGATTTTTCTGCTCATTGAAAGTCAGCTTTCAACTGCTTTCATTTTTCTCAATCAGACAGACTTTTTTTTGATTAGTGTTCTTTCTGGTAGTGTATTTAATGGCAGTAAATCTAGTGGCTTTGAAATGGCAGATTGTGCTTCCCTTGACATTTCACATCTTGAGACGAATATCTCTGTTCATCTAGATTCGTGATTTTCATACTTCCAGCTTTTAGGAATGCAGAATGCTTTGTTCAATTGACATTTCGAAATGGCAGCTAGATTTCCCAAATGTAAAATAATTTAAAGTGGGAGGAAGTGCGACTGAAACTGGGATAGGAGACCTGGAACCCTTTCTCTGCAATTCTTACCTCTTTTCCTGAATAAGTGTTAAGGCCATTGATCTGGAATAGAGTAATTTTGTGTCAATCCGTTTAGTGGCAAGGCATTTCATTCTGTTACTCCAGCAGGTGCATTGCTGTAATTGGAGCCATAGCTTTTCCATAAGATTGTAAAACCTTTTTTCATATTTTACCAACTAAAAGATACACATAAACAACCTAATCATTTTGTATTAAATAGGTGTGACAAGCTCATCTGAGTACAGTACCACGGGACCGCCCAGTACTCCAGGTAGTTTAATTTTTGACTTCAGTTTTGAAAAAAAATATATATATATCTATAATCTATATAAAGTATAAGAAATAATACTAGTAAATAATATCCTATTATGTGTTTCTCATATTGAGATGAGTTTCTAAGTGCTCTTCTCTTTGAGTACTAAAGTTTAGATAACCAAGTGCTTATTTGAAACAATTTCATGGATAAGAGAGAGTAAATTATTTTAAGTCAACCTGAATAAAATATAGTGCAACTTCTACATCATTTTAGATATATTATTTTAAAATTTAGTTTTGAATAAAGAGTTAAAACTATTTCCACTCACTCCTAGTAAAGACAGCCTGTTTTGAAGAGAAGTGGCTTCAAGATACACAATAAATGGCATTGTAAAAAATGTTTTTAAATTTATATAAAAATCTTTACTTTTGTTATTGTTGTTGTTTTATTATGCTTGCATTTAGATGTTGCTCCAAGATTTCTTATAAATTTACTTGATTACATAAAAGGGTCAGTGCATTAGAAATAAACAGTCATGAGAAACAAATTTCAAGGTATACTGATTTTTCCCTTTGATCAGGAAAATTAGTGTATATATATATATATATATATACACACACATATATATAATTGAATTATCAGTACTATATAGTAGATTGGTTTAATACAATCTATCTTGGGCCTGTTTGGGCAATAGCCAATAAAAATTTATAGTTGAAAAAAATAGTTCTGTTAGGGATGCAACATGTGTTTGTAATTGTAGATGCCCAAAATTAATAAGCTCTTAATTTCTGAGCTTACTATGGCTGATTGTCCCAAGAAAAAATATGAATTTCAGAGATAATCATGTGTATGACCTTGGCAAGTTTCTAAGTGCTCTTCTCTTTGAGTACTAAAGTTTAGATAACCAAGTGCTTATTTGAAACAATTTCATGGATAAGAGAGAGTAAATTATTTTAAGTCAACCTGAATAAAATATAGTGCAACTTCTACATCATTTTAGATATATTATTTTAAAATTAAGTTTTGAATAAAGAGTTAAAACTATTTCCACTCACTCCTAGTAAAGACAGCCTGTTTTGAAGAGAAGTGGCTTCAAGATACACAATAAATGGCATTGTAAAAAATGTTTTTAAATTTATATAAAAATCTTTACTTTTGTTATTGTTGTTGTTTTATTATGCTTGCATTTAGATGTTGCTCCAAGATTTCTTATAAATTTACTTGATTACATAAAAGGGTCAGTGCATTAGAAATAAACAGTCATGAGAAACAAATTTCAAGGTATACTGATATTTCCCTTTGATCAGGAAAATTAGTATATATATATATATATATATATATATACACACACATATATATAATTGAATTATCAGTACTATATAGTAGATTGGTTTAATACAATCTATCTTGGGCCTGTTTGGGCAATAGCCAATAAAAATTTATAGTTGAAAAAAATAGTTCTGTTAGGGATGCAACATGTGTTTGTAATTGTAGATGCCCAAAATTAATAAGCTCTTAATTTCTGAGCTTACTATGGCTGATTGTCCCAAGAAAAAATATGAATTTCAGAGATAATCATGTGTATGACCTTGGCAAATCACAGCTCTTACAAAATAAAATTATATATTCAGGATAAAACAATCCCCATTTATAGATTTTAGTACCAACTTCTTAATTTCCATATAGATGCCCAAATGAACTATATATTTAAAATCAATATAGGTCCTGAAATTTTACTAATCTATGCATTGTATTGAATAGAAAAAGGATCTCATATTCCAGAAGCAACTCCCACATACTCAGAAACAAATACAATTATTGGTAAGTAAAAGTTATTGTGATTCTTATTCATATTTATATGCCTAAGCTAGTCAGTACCTAATCCTATATAATAAAAGCATAATATGCTAAGTGTCTGGTCATCCAGTCAACTGTTCAACCAATCAAAGGGTAATATGCTAATGATATGCTAAGGCAGGTCAACTGCTTGCTATGACGTGCACTGACTACCAGGGGACAGATGCTCCGACCGGTAGGTTAGCTTGCTGCTGGGGTCCAGCTGATTGGAAATGTGCTACGGCTCAGACATGCCCTGGAGCCCTCCTGTGGTCCTTCCCTGGCTAGCCAACCTCTCAAGTCCCTCCCCGGCCCTGATCATGCACCGGTGGGGTCCCTTGGCCTGGCCTGCGCCCTCTCACGATCTGGGACCCCTCGAAGGATTTCAGAGAACTTGTTTCCGCCTGATCCCGCAGGCCAGGTGGAGGGACCACACTAGTGCACGAACTCGTGCACCAGGCCTCTAGCGAGGTATAAAGTAACCAATTTGCCATTATCTATTTGTTCATTGTATGTATGAATAGCATTACATCAGTACTATTTTTCCTCAAAGATACATACAAAGACACATAAATATATATGCACATGTACACACATGTACACATGTGCATATATAAATATAGAAAGAAATAATAGAAATCTTTACACTCATTTGATATAAATGTTAACCAACTCAGACAACATTAAAAAGACTATCTGTATAAAGAGCAGAACAATTATGCAGACCACCAGTTTCCTCCATGGATTCCTCCCCATAGTAAACTCATTTTCCCTCTTCCAATGTAAACAAGATGTTTTATTCATGTTTTGTTTTGCCATATAGCCAACTTTGGGTTTTCCCAAGGCCTCAGGTGGTACTTTTAGTGTGCTTTTGCAGTATGTGAGAAAGAAAACTAATGAATAAAGCTAATGGCTGCGAGAATAGAATCTTTCAGTGATTTTTTTTACCTTGGTGAATAAACACTTTAATAAATCAGAGCTAGATAGTACATTAATTGTCTGAATAGTTATGAATATTCTATTCTAAATATCTTACAGGTGAAGCTTCTACTTGGGACAAAGGAGCATACAAAGCTTTCAACGGCCGTATCTTTTCCTTTGAGTCACCATGCACGTACACTTTCTGCCGCCACTGCGTTGACTCTGGAGATTTCAATATTGAGATCAAACGAAACACTGATAGTGAGATTGAAAAAATAACGGTTTTAATTGACAATAATGACATCTCTATATCTGGTGACACCATTTTAGTTAATGGAGAAAGGTAAATGAAATAGTGTATGGATAAAGAGATGGTGAGAGATGATGTACTCTTTTCCTATTTTGATGCATGTTGATATTTTTAATAAATTATTGGAAAAGAGTTTAGTAACTCTATAATACAGATATATGTGGGATTGTAAGATATATTTATTTCTATAACAAGGTAGGGAAAAAAGAGATGTCTGTTGTTTTACTATTTTGAGTATCTTGATTTTGAGCAACATGTGTATTCAACAAAACTGTTTAAAGAATATTTCAATTTTTATTTGTATGTTTAACACTAAATATAAACTTAAGGTTTTATAATAGATTGAAGCCCATAGGCCATGATTTACAGACATAGTAATTTACATTTGGAAGGGAGAGCATATTTGAATACTTACCAGGATAAGAAAATGCGGCATATTATTCTATTTGTGAACATTTCAAATTATTTTATCATTATTTTTTTATACTGAACCATTGTGTTTTTTTGTTGTTGTTGTTAATTACTCCAAAGTCCCAAAGATTTATTCATTTTTTCTTAAAAGTCTTTCCAATATTGGGAAAAGAACCATGGTATCTCTTCTGAAATGATATAAAAAAGAAAACTTTAATAATTACTAGACAGATTTTCTAACTATAGAAAAATGAATTACCAAAGGTGTTATAAGAATACTTTTTACATTTATATGTACTTGTGTTTTATACTTTTCAGTGTACAGATACCATATAACAACAAGCTGATTCACATTAAAAAACATGGAGAATATAATGTCCTGAACAGCCGTAGAGGAATCTTGTCATTAATGTGGGACAAAAATAACAAACTCTCAGTAAGTTTATCTTTGATTTTCTTATAATCCTGTGCTATTTTTTCTTTGCTTTTAGTTACAAAAACAATACATTATAAAACCAGAGCTAAACTTCATTGAGCAATCTATATGTATTTGTCACTGTACTAACCATTATCTTAATATTTAAAACGTCTTGAAGTACATACTATTATTAATCTTATTTTAAAGATGATGGAATTCATGAGATTCACGCTAATGAAAAAGTTAAATAACCTGCTCAAAGACACAGTTAGTAAGTGGTGGAGTCAGGATTTATTCCAAATTCTAGAGCCAGGTTCTTAAAAATCACACACCCGGTAGTACATCCATAAGTAACCACCTTAGGTAGAATAAAATACTAAGAGCCATGTTCTTTGTTTTGGGTAAATCTTGTCTTAAGATATTTTTAATATTTTATAAATACATACATTTCTTTTAAAGCTCACTCTTCACAAGCAATATCCAACTTGCGGTCTTTGTGGTAATTTCAACACCACTCCAGGTAAGATTTCAATGTATTATGAACAAGAATATTGCTTCCCAAAAGAAAATTATAAAGTAAATGCTCATGTTTGGATAATTGTAACAACGCTTTGCATTTGTCTAAAGAATGAAAAAATGTTAAAATAAATATATGTCTATATTTATGTTGTCAAGTCTATGTTTAGCTTGAAAATAACGTGTGTATGTAATGCATATTGTGAATCAAACATTGCTTTTTTTTTTTTTTTTAAGGAGAAGACATCAATGAGCACATTGCCAAGAGTAAAATTGCTGGTGATTGCCCTGAAGCTACTAGTAAAACCTATCAAACTTGCGAAGATGGAGTAGAGGTAAGAAATTAGTATTTCATCTAGTAGCAAATTTCTGCAATATTCCCCTGGGTTTCAATTTAGATAGCCAGCATCCTTTCTCAGCACTCACATTTTAGAATTCTGCAACTGCTTCCCCTCCAGTGTCCCTGTAGTCTGAGCTTTAGTCTAACTAAAGAGGACAAAATAATGTTCTCCCCAAACACTATGATATTAACGATGTATTAGTGTGACAATTCTAATGTCCTTTGCATAGTGTTTTCATTTGTCTGTAAATTGACACATTTCCCCTCTGCATTATTACCTCTTCATGGGTACTAACTTGACTCTTACAGTTTAGAAATCCATGTACTGTGTCCCTAAGAACTAGTTTCTGTTCTTGCTTTCTTACTTTTGCCCCAGAGAACCAGTCTGAATTGTCATCCTTTATATCCTTTACCTTCTTTTTGAAAAAGCTACAGGTACTATTTTTGATTATGACAATTGAAAATAGTCATTATTTACTCTCTGAATCTTCCAACCTTGTGTTATGTTGAATTTGATAGATTCATTGGTGACTGAATGAATATTCACATATTCCTGTTTCAATCTAGAACAAAATTCTCAAGATCAAAAGATAGAAGAAATTTTTGTCCTATTGGCAATTGGTGTTACATTTATAAACATCTTGTCATCTTTTAGCAAATCAAATTAAACCATGACATTATACAAGATCATCTACTATCTTCCTTGTGAAACCCTCCTTGATCTTTGCACTTAGAATGCCTTCTCTTTCCTTCATTCCCTGTGTCACTCATTGGTCCTTACAATAAGACACCATCTATAATGATTTCCCATGTTTTTCTCATATGTTTTCTATGAGATTATGTATGAGTTGCGTGATAATGTCTCATTTGTTGTGGTAGTTGCATACTGTGTGAGAAGTTACCCCTGTTGCTTAAAAATGTTAGTTGAATGTTTACATAAATTTATGTTAAAGCCAGTGAATACTTGATAAAGACCTACTATATCCAAGACCTGGTCTTAATCCATGCTATATTAAATTCAATGTTATATTTCTTGCCCTTAAAGGGACCTATAATCTAGTGAGAAACTAACAAAGAACAATAGATGTAAAAGCAGTCTTTGCAATCTTTGCAGGTGTTATTTCACTTTATTTTATACCTCACTTGGAGAATATTATCAGAT